CATAATACAATCATGCCATGATTCTATATTTTCTCCATCTCAAGAAAAAAAAATTAAGGTTATGTTTGAAAAGAGAAAAACTGATATAAATACATGTGCTCACAATGCTGCTTATTTATTGGACCCCCAATATCAAGGGGAGCATCTTACTAATACTGAATTTGATGAAGCATGTAATATAATACAAGAATTGGGTATTTTACAAGGTGGTGATAATCAAAATATTTTGAGTAATATAGTAAATTTCTGAAGCAAAAGCGGTATATTTAATAGCCATAATATGTGGAAAGTTGTAACTTCCATAAGAAACAATCAAATTTCGCCTCAAGTTGGTGGAATGCATTTTGCCCACCTTGCCCATTAAGAGAAGTCGCTAATATTTTACTAACATTTCCTAGTTCGACTTCTTCTTCTGAAAGAAATTGGTCGGTTTGGGGCAATATTCACACGAAAAACAGAAATAGATTAAAGGCTTCTACAGCAGGAAAATTAGTAAAAGTGTATCATAATTTAAGATTGATTAAAAATATTAAAGAAAATAATGATATTGAATATGAATCGGAACAAGACTCTGCCACGGAGGGTGAAACATTGACTATAGAATGAATTAAAAAATATTATGATATTTATTATTATACATAGATTTATTATAATATTATATAAATGCAAAATAAAGTTAATATTGGTGTAAAAAACATTTATTTGAATTTGACCATATTTGACCGGTCAAATATCGGTCAATTGACCGAATTGTATTTGACCGGTCAAATGCACAACCCTGATATATAGATATTAATTTTTAATAAATTTGAGTTATTGTAATAATAATGAACAAACTTTAATATAAATTATTAAAATATAAATCGTTTAAAATATAAAGCCATTCATTATAGCCCTACTATGATAAAATATTATTATTTGTTAATATTCTGGGTTTTCGATTCCCACATAATCTCTAATATATTTTTTAAAGAATATATCTACAACACTATCTTCTAAACTTTTGTTTAAGTCAGAGACCTGCAGAGGTTTTTTAAATTTAAGCCAGGCTGGGATTATTTTTTGAAAAATTTTTTCAGCCTGGCCCAGTCATATTTTTTCTGCCTGGCCCGGTCATATTTTTAGACCCGACCCAGGTATTTTTTTTAAATTTTCAGGCCTGCCTCGAATATATTTTTAAAAAAATTAGGGCTAGGCCTGCAGGTCTCTGGCTAATAAATTCTATAGATATTGTGATCCTTTCAAGGTTTTTATAAATTTAATTATATGTATGATAAGGTTCATCTTGCTCGAAGGTGTAATTTGCTTAATTTTCATAATAAATGAATTGAGAGGATCAGTGCTTCTATGAGAATACCTTGATATTTAATATTTATTTATTACTAAAATTTTTACTAGAGCTTTTTCCCCCAATACTAATAAACTAAATGGAAGTTTAACAGACTTTTTATAAGCAATCAGGAAGGTAAGAAGTTGCTGCTAATCTTATTACCCTATTTCGTACTATTCAAAAATATCTATAAAATTTGTCTCTGATACTGATTGTGTGCTCTTTTATAAATTACATTATTTTAATGCAATATAAAAATATCTATAAAATTTGTCTCTGATGCGATTGTGTGCACTTATAAATTATATCATTTAAAGCCCAATTTTATCTTTAGTAATGTTTAAAAATGGTTTCTTCTAGAGCTATATGAAGTATGATGTAAACAGAATTTTAAATGCTTTATTATCTTATAGTAGGAGTATCCTATTAAATGCAATCTTTGTCAATAAGTTTATATGAAAACTTGCTACTCAATTACAGAAATCTAATCAAAAAATATTATTGAATATTGAAATATGCCGAGAACAATTTTTAGTAGAATATTTCCTTTTTTAAATTAGTTATCCCCGGGATTTATGATTCTGTCTACACTGATTGAGATTTTGTTTAATATTAGATCCTTTTTTAAAAAAATTTTTTTTATTTAAGGCTGTGTCCTAACTATCAAAAATATAAATAAATTTTAATTAAATTTTGCTTAAATTTTATAAATTTGTATAATTTTATGAAAAACTAGTAAATAATATTAGAGTGGTGGCATTGTTATTTTTCGTATTTTATTCTCTTTTTTTTGTTTTTATCGTTTTTCTTTTTAATTTTTCTTTTGCTTTTTTGGCTATTTAACCAATACTAAATAGCCGGCCATTTAGTATTAAGATCTCAAAACATCGCTCAAAATGATATCATTTAATGTAAAGTTTGAATATTTTAAAACTTTATAAAAAAAAGAGAGAATTTGATTTTAAAAGTGATTTAAATAATTATTTTTATTTGCAAATGATTGAATAAACACTCTTACAATTATTTAACATCCATGTGAATAACATGATAATCAGAAATGAAAAGCTCGCCAGTAGTAAAGAAATCATTTATGAACATCGAAATGTCCACAATCTTAGAGGGAGGTAGATGAATAAACACCCTTGCAATTATTCATAATCCATGTGAATAACACCAAAATCAGAAATTAAAAGCTCGCCAGTAGTCAAGAAATCATTTATGAAAATCGAAATGTCCACAATCGTAAAGAGGGAGGTAGAATTTATTTATGGGATAGGCTCCTATAATTATATTGAACAGACATTAGTTAGAAAATATACGACTTGAGTTTTTACTTTAAATGCATGACTCTTATACAAATGCCATATGGCTCAACAAAATGTGAATAAATACATGATGTTTAAGGTATTTAAGGCCTTTATTGGCAAAGAATTAATAATGGCAGAAGTAACTAAAAAACAGACAGCCAATGAAAAATGCACAAAGCATGGGAAAAATAGTACTTTAACCTATATCTGACATTCAATATGACATCAGAAAATGGCAATCCAGAGTGCCAATAAAGCAAAGATGTAAAATGTGTATAAAATCATATCATTCTAGAATTATAAGCACTAAAGCAAAAATGACTTAATTAAATAATAATAAAAATTAATAAAATAGAAAGGCCAGCCAATGAAAAATGCACAAAACATAGGAAATCAATAGTTCTTATATTTGGCATTCAATATGACAACATCAGACACTAGAAATCCAGAGTGCCAATAAAGCAAAGATGCAATTGTTATATTTCATCCTAAATATTTGTAAATAAGTTTTTTTTTATATCAAAGCAAAATAAAAGACAATTGATGCTAAATTCAACATTGTATATATTGCAGTGACATAGCTTCCATTGAAGCAAGGGAAGCATTGCTTCTTTTAAAAAAATTTCCACAAAATTTTTAAATAAACTTAATATAATCTTTATAATATGTTAAAAAAAACTAATCTGACTATGTTAATAAAAAAATTAATATAATCTTTATAACATAAACAAAAATAAATATAATTTTTAAAAATATTAATATTATTTTTACTTCTTTAAGAAGAATTACTATTATTTTTACTATGTTAAAATATTTTACTATTATATTTACTACGTTAAAAAAATATACATGAGGGAAGCAAATTAATATTGCTTATTTTTTTGAATAAATAAAGAGAAAATTATGCAAATTTATTGTGTAATTTTACGTTTAAAAATAAGCATTGGGGAAATAAATAAAAAAAATGCTTATTTTTTTAATAAATAAAAGAGAAAAAAAAATTTTTAACAAATTTTTTAAGCAATAATTAATATTTAATAATTTAATTATATTATTGAAAATTTATTAAGATTATCAGAGTTGTATAAAAAATATCTGTATCTATAAACTATTTCAGAGGTATCTGTATCTATATATAGATACTTTGTAAATTTTCTCATATATATGAGCATATAATTTAAATAAATATATATTATAAAAATATAAACTAAAATATATATATATAATATTAAAACTTATATATAAAAAAGATATAAATATTATTTTATCACATTTATATCTATAGATATCAGTTTAAGATGTGAGGATATTTTTATCATGCAATAAATTTATAAATCCTTGCTTAGGCATGAAACCCATTAATTATAAATAATACCATTGATGCACAAAATTATTTTAAGCAAATAAATTTATTTTGAATTTTAAAATAATTTTATAGATATTCCGCTAACCTTTCATGAATAAATTATAAGTTTAATGTAAAAAAAATTTTTTTTTAATATCAAATCTATTTTTGATTTTGATTGAAAAAAAACTTATTAAAAATTTAAAATCTAGCAATAACTTTTATAATTCAGAACTTGATCATTTTACTCAAAAACAAAGACAAATTCTACTTATTCATATATTTTATTTTTTTATGGTTTGACTAATAAATATTTTTTTTTGATTGCTTTCCTAGTAGTAAACTTGACACTTCGTCATTGATTTGTCTATATGCAATTAAATTAAAAATTTTTTACTAAAAATGAGTTTGGATTTATATTAGATATACTTTTTATGAAAAAAAAATTTATCTGAAGAAAAAAGTTGTCATAAAAGGGTCAAGATTCTTAAATCCTAGAATCATTTTTTAAAAAATTTAATTATCCCCCATATAGATTTATGTACTATATAGAACTAGACCATATAGAAATTTTAAAAAATATGGATGGATGTGCTGAAGATGGATATGAAAGGAGTGGGTTTTACTAATGATGATGCCCAAGATTGTAGTAAATAAAGATGATGAAATGTGTAGCAGGCCAGTCCAAATACTATGATTACATATAAAGATAAATAAGAACATTTTAAGTTTTAAAATAATTCAATAGAATAAGTTTTATATTTGTTTTGATTTTATTAACCAATTTATATATTTAATAATTTATTTTTAATTTAAAAAAAATATAAAAAAATAATAATAGGAATTTATGTTGAATACAAATAACTTCTTAATTATTATGAATTAACCAAGGTTTTTAAATATTATAATTATTAAAAAATTTCACTTCCATTATTTTTAAATATTTAAAATAAAAAAATTTATTAAATATTAATTCGTAAGATATCATGATTAATAATGTATTTAAAAGTTTATATACTTTGCTTGTATCAAAAGATGCAAACCCCAATAATTTTTTCATTTCTTCTTGCTCAGCTAAAGTTTTTGCATCAACTATAAAAATTATGAGGGTTTAATATTCAAAATTAATTACGTATATCTGCATTTGGCAAGGGAGGCACAATATTTTTAGGTGATTTTTTATCACTTTTTTGATTGTAATATATTGTAGGCTCTGTAACTTTATCTCCTCGGTTTCTTAAAGATTTATTATTGTCTCTATCCTTATGATGTTTATGCCTTTTAGTACTTTTTAAAGATTTGGATCTTAATAAAAAATTATATAGTTTAATACATTTAAAATATATTACGGTGATCGTTTTTTATCTCTGGATGAACTTCTACGACCTAAAACTTATTATATTTATAATTATGATCTCTGATAACTTCTTTTAAATTGATCCCTAGAACCAGGACGTTTGTCTCGAGATCTAGAACGGCGCCCTTAAACATATAATATTAATTATAATATAAAGTCTTAATACTTCTGTGTGGAGAAACCATCAAATGAATTTACTCTGCTTTATATAAAAACTGTTCGTGTGACATCTGGCAATCAATAAATAGCATGATATAATACTTTTTTTAAATAAAAAAACTTATTATCAAAGGGGATGAACGATCCATGTCCAACCTAGAGCTTTTGCTATAAGAGAAAATGAAACACAAATATGATATTAGTTAATCTTTTATATAATTTACATAACTATTTTTTTATAATATTTTTGGCATCTCTTTTTATAAATTTTACTCTATATATGTATATACATTATATTTTCTTATACATTTCATATAGTTGAATAAATTTATTAAAAATAATATTGCTGCATTATTTCAAATTAGTTTGTGAACACTTTATATTGAAGTTAGTGTTTAAGATTTTCTGATGATTGAATTGAAAGCTTAAGGACATTTGTTGGTTGCTAGTTCATTTTGATAATAATTGTCTAAAATTTATAAAAATTTTTAACAATAATACAATATTATGTCAATAATGAGCCTAAATTAAAATTTTAAAGAATGGAAATGCAGTGAAAATATTTATTGATTTACTTTAAAAAACATCTACACCAAATTATTTTAAGTTGCATACTTATATTTTGTGTCAAATTTCTTGATTTATCGTATTAATTTATATTGCATTTAATTGTATATAAGTGTAAAATACTGGTATTTTACATAAAAAAACAAAATTAAAATGCAATTTTAATAATAATTTACCTCAATAATTTTTTGGTTTATTTCTAAACCCATAAAAATGAATCGTGATGTTAAAAATATTCAAAATAAGGCCATATAAATTTTTTTTTAAAAAAATCATATGAAAATAATCTAACAAAAAGTGCTCAATATTTCTCAACACGATGAGCTTTTGTTCAAATGCTTTATATGGTAGCCTATTTTGTAGATTCTTATTATTTTAAAATCAAAATAAAGAAAAAAGAATTGCAATTGATATTACATCCAAGCATTTATCAGGTGATCATGGCCTTAGCCTAAATTTTCTTGCCAGAGGGGAGGGGGCAATTTTATACTTAAGGAGGGGGGGGGGTTCACATTTTGAAATAAAATAAATATTTAGGCACATATATGTAAAGATCATATCAAATATAATTACGATGGAGAATATCTTGTATTTAAACTAAATCTATTGTATCATATAAACAAGATCCACATATATATTTCTATATAAAACTATAAATTAATAAATTGACCGTCACTTCTTCAACGTCATCCCGACACCTTCCCCCATTACAAACAATTTTTCATTTTTCCATATCACACTCACCCTCCAGCACAACGTCTACGTGAGCGGGAGGGGTAAGAACAGTTTGCATCCTATTTTTTTGAGGGGGTATGGGGTATGCTTTAATGGGGGTAGGATATATTTTTTGGGGAGTTGTCTATTAAATTTTGAGATGAAGTAGGACAAAATTTATTGCTGTAAAAATTAATACTTTTATTATAGTATTATTATATTACAATTCATCGACCAAATCTATATATTGCAAACAATCATACACATTGTTTCCCAACTATCCTTTAAAAATCCTTTTAAATGTAATTTAAAAGGTTTAGATATTTCAGCAAGCTCATAATGCCATAATAATAAATTCATTGTAAATAATGGAGATTTTAATTGAATTTATTATCTAAAAAATAAATTCTTTATATTCATAAAATATCGATAATAACTGATTTGTATAATATAAAATCAATATTCAAATTGGATCAAACAGAATTCAATAATTATGTTGAACAAAAAAAAAACAAGTTGAATAAATATAAAATTTTAAATTATTATTTATTGTTATAGATATAAAACGGAAATATTTTTCCCTGTGCTAAATGCAATAATTAACCACCTAAATGATCGATTTAATTATGATTGTTTAAATTTTTTATCACAAATATTCATTTTTACTCCCGCTGGAATTATGGATAATGAAAAAATAGAAGGATGGCAAATATCCGAAATTTGTAATACTTATCATTGGATGTCCAAAACATTGTTAATGAATATAATGATTTTCGCTCTTTATATTTGGAGTCTCAATCAATCATTTTTTGCGAAGATCTTTTGAAAGTTAAAAAGAATGACGCGTTATATATCGATAAAAGTAATTTATTGATATTTTATTTGTAATAGGTATTGCAAACGATCAAACTACCGAAGAAAATATCAACAGCGAAATCATGACCAAAATAAAAAAAATGGATAAAATATTCTTTTATATTACCATACCGACTTTTAAATCAATTAAATTCTTATTCTAATTTAAATTTTATATAAATATGTATTAACCATTCCTACAACTTCCTGTTCAGCTGAAAGAGCCATGAGTAAAGTAAAAATAAACAAAACTCGAATGCGGAATAAATTTTTGGACCCATTTTTAGAAAATTTACTGTTAATATCCTGCGAAATTGATGTTTTTGAAAAATTTACAATTGATTAATGATATTATAACACAATTTGCATTAACATCTATAAGGTTATCCAAATTATTAATAAAATAAGTAATGTATCTTTTTCACAGCGAATATATACGCTTTTAAAAAATGTAAATTTAATTTAACATTTTATAATCTCAATGCAAAATATACTATTTTTAATTTTATTCTAATATTTTATATAATAACTCTATTTACAATACATGTTTTTAATTAATTAAAAGGTAATATAGGTATGTGGAATCAAGCTAAATATACCTTTTAAAATTACTTGTCTTATATTTTTTACAATATTTTAGATCTTTTAGAAATATTAATATGTTATCTCATTTAATTCACTTATATATATTTTATGAAAATAAAGTGAATATCAACCAAATTATGAAAAGATTGCATTATTTAGATATAAGTTGATTATCACCTACAAATTTTTAAATTTTTTTCCATAAATAGGCTTGAAAGATTGTAAATAAAATTATATAAGATTTTTTATATAAAATCACTATAACATCGTAGGTCTGTAAATTTCGCGGCCGAAGACCGCGGGATTTCTTTTAGGTGGGTATGGGTAGATTTTGGAGGGGGTTAGCCTCCATTAAATTTTCTGCCATGTAGACGCTACTCCAACATTACCATTCCAATGTATTCCAGCATCATACCATTCCATTCATTCAAATCAAATACACAAATCAAATTAGACCATTGCAAATCAAACTAGACCATTGACAAATCAAATTTGACCATTGCAAATCCCCATTTGACCATTACCATTGTTAATCATTTGCCCATTACCATTCTACATCACCCACATCTAATTCATCATTGTTCTCCAAATCATTATCCATCTTGTCTCATTCGCAATACCCATCATTCATCATCATCCCCAAATCCTCATTTGACCATTACCATTGTTAATCATTTGACCATTACCATTCTTCATCACCCACATCTAATTCACCATTGTTCCCCAAATCATTATCCATCTTGTTTCATTCGCAACCTTCTCCATCCCTTCCATTTGATCCTTTATTTGTATCATTATCATACTTTCCTCATTACTCATCCTCTAATCCCAAGTGATCATTTCACATACAAAACAGCTGTATCTCTCTTAGAACTTTTTAATGTTTTATTTCCTCATTCTCAACAATATTTACACGATAATTCTTATTCAACCTAATTATATATATGAATTAAATAAGAATTAATTCGAAATACCACTAATGTCTTAATAACATAAAATATTAAATTAGACCTTATCAATACTATAATTGTCCTATAGGTGGAGATGAGTAAAAAAGAGGTGGCTGAGGAGATTAAGTAATGCTAAATAAAGGGGGAAATGGATTGATGATGGATAATATAAAGCCGGGGAGTAGGGAAGGGGATGGAATGTTTGAGAGGGAAATAAAGGAGATTTTGGAGGAGTATAAGATAATATTTGAGAAAGGGTTAAGGACTTTAAAAGATTTTAAAGTGAGTATGAGTATAAAGAAGGATTACAGGCCCAGGTTTTTACCTTCAAGGAGAATTTTTTTCCAATGGCGCGAGGAGATTAATAATGAGTTAAATAGGTGAAGAGAAGAAGGGATAATAATACCTCTGGTACATAGTGAGTGGGCTACTCCATTAGGTTCGTAAGGCTGATGGTAAGTTACGTTTGTGTACTGTTTTTAGGATAACTTTGAATCCGGGTATAGTTGAGGTGAGATATCCTTTGCCAAGGGTGGAAGAGATCCTAGCTAGTTTGGGAGGGGCTAGATGGGTTTTAAAGGTGGATTTAAGTAATGCCTATTTACAATTAAGGGTGAATAAGGAAATGAATGATAATAAATTGGAATTGCAATAATTTCTAGGAAGGATTAATTATCATCATCGATTTATTGAAGATTTTGCAATGGTGGCAGTGCTATTGTATGTTACTCAAGAAGAATAGTAGATTTGAATGGGGGGATAGACAGGAAAGGAGTTTTCAGAATTTGAAACAAGAGATTGGTAAGAGTCCTATATTGTTGAGTTTTAATGAAGAGTATGAGGTAGTGTTAACAGCGGATGCTTCTAGTGAGGGGGTTGGAAGGGGATTGTTGCATATAATGGATGGGAGGGAACGACCGATATTATATTTTCCAAGAGCTCTAAGTAAAGCAGAAAGGAATTATTCCGTCATAGAGAAGTAGGCATTAGCGCTAAAATTAGGGTTAGTAAAATGTAGAGAATATTTGATAGGTAGAAGTTTTGTAGCATACACTGATCATATGCTGTTGGTGGGGTTAATTAAGAAGGACAACAAGGAATTGTTGTTATCAGGACGTTTGCAGCAATGGTTGTTATTAGTTGGGTGGCTTAACATGGAATTACGGTATAGGAACAGGATTGTTATGTCTCCCCCCATCAGCGGGAGACTCCCGCAATTTTTTAGTTTACAAGCAGACATCTCTCTCCCGCAAAACTACCGCAATTGGAAATCTCCCGCAAAAATCTACCGCAATTTTTTAACATCTCCCGCAAATTTTTTAAAAAGTATATTTATGTTTTTAATATATAAATAATAATTTTGAGAGACAATAATTGATTATTTTTATATTTTTAAAATAAATTTTAAA